ATTGATTGATTGATTGATTGATTGATTGATTGATTGATTGATTGATTGATTGACTGATTGATTGATTGATTGATTGATTGATTGATTGATTGATTGATTGATTGATTGATTGATTGATTGATTGATTGATTGATTGATTGATTGATTGATTGATTGATTGATTGATTGATTGATTGATTGATTGATTGATTGATTGATTGATTGATTGATTGATTGATTGATTGATTGATTGATTGATTGATTGATTGATTGATTGATTGATTGATTGATTGATTGATTGATTGATTGATTGATTGATTGATTGATTGATTGATTGATTGATTGATTGATTGATTGATTGATTGATTGATTGATTGATTGATTGATTGATTGATTGATTGATTGATTGATTGATTGATTGATTGATTGATTGATTGATTGATTGATTGATTGATTGATTGATTGATTGATTGATTGATTGATTGATTGATTGATTGTATTGATGATTATTAGCGTGTATTCAATTCATGAAGTTTACAAAACGAAACCTTTATTAAAGTGGAACATTTCATCCAGAAGACGAAAAATAAAAAAAAATGGATAAAGAGACAATGAAGGAGAAAGGAGGCGATGAAGGAATGAAAAATAGAGTGAACGTGAGGTGGAGTAGGAAGGAAGATTGCGGGGAAATCAGAAACATGATTCAGGTGAGTTGGATGGTGGTGATAAGGAGGTGAGTTTAATGATGGTGAGTGTAATGATGGTGACGATGCTGCTAACTGATGACAACGATGACGAAATGATGATTATGGAGTAGATGATGATATTGACATAAATTATGATAATATATATCTTTACTATCACCATCGTCATTATCATAAAATATGTTTCACAACAACAGGAGTTGGCAGAATTCCAAAACATAGGCAACCAGCCTACAATAACCGTCCCAAGTTTGAATTTTTTGCATACCAATTCTTACAATGTGGGGACTCTCCACAAAGAAGGTCACGCTTTGAGAGGGGTAAAAGGGGTAGAAAAAATTTGTGACCCAAATAAAGTGACCTTTCTGTGGAGAGTCCCTATTATAAATATTAATTTGTTGTCAGTTTTTCTGGCAAATTTGTCTGCCATTGTTTTTAAAACCCTTTAACGTATCTTTACAATTAATTACTTATTTTATTCGCTTTTTTGTTTTTACGAATTCTCTCTCCGATATTTTTTAGAAGAATCAACAACAAACACACGGTACATGTTATAAATATCTCTGAATCCACACCACAGCACTACCTGGATCATTAACCATTACACCATTGAATGATGAATGAATGAATAAGTTATTATAATAGAGTGATGAATGAATAAATAAATTATTATAATAGAGTGATGAATGAATGAATAAATTATTATAATGGAGTGATGAATGAATGAATAAATTATGTTAATTAAGTACTAGAGAAAGAAGGCTTCGGTCCGAACCCAAGTTTCAGATGTCTTGTGGCCGAATATTGCAACGATGGTGATGATGGCAGTGAGATTTTTCACGTTGTTAATATTATAATCATGAATAATCAATAATATTAATGAATAATTAATATTATAATGAATGTTGTTTTATACGAGATAATAATTATAAAATATTTAAAAAAAATAATTATAATAATAATAAAATGTATTTAAGTGCTCAGTCATTAAACTTTGAATAAGGCAATTTTCCTTCAATAAATCATCATATCCACCACACCACAACAACCACACTGCAGCAGCAGCAGCAGTAGCGACAGCAACGACGACTAAACAGCAGCCACTACTTGGCCTGTTAATATTCATGGATACATTCCATTCATTCTACGGAAGGATAATGCACCTGGAACTGTGGTTCGTGAGGGAAAAGTACAGGGGCGAGAGAGTTGGGTCCAAATTGATGGAAAGATTTATGCAGGTTTCTGATTGGCTGGCTATTTTTAGAATCTTTTTATTATGCTTTTATTGCTAAATGTTTTTTCATAATTATTTTCTTCTTACGTAATTATTTTAATTTTTTTATTGCATCGATCGCTCTGCTACAGCTAGGAAAGATAAAAAAAAAGTTATTTTTAAATATGATGTATGACGTCATCACTCAATGTGAGGTCATACTCACATTATCATCATCATTAGTTTCGTAATAATTAATAATAATAAAAAAAAATAACACCAACAATAACAAATAATACTAAATAATAATAAATAATAATCATCATCAGATAGCGGATGGTGAAGGTATAAAGAAGGTTGACTTCATATGCATGGAGGAAAATCATTCCAGTGTTAAGTTTTATAAGAGGTCCTTCTGGTTTATTTAGATTATTGTTATTATTATTATTATCATTATTATGGTTATTATTATTATTTTTCCAATCATAGTTCTGGAGCTAAAAGCATCAGCGATGATGAGTCCTGGATATGGTTCCGGTACGGAGAAGATGAAATCAAGAGGATGTCGAGAGGAGTTATGAAGAAAGATGGATAGATGGATGGATGGATGGACGGACGGATGGATGGATGGACGGATGGATAGATGGATAGATGGATGGATGGATGGACGGACGGATG